TAGCTCCTCTAATTCTTCCTGCCAAAGTGAATAGCCTCATATTTTCCTATATCATATTGCATCTGACAAGTTTCTGTCCACTCACTTATCCTGTCTATATTCGTCTGCAGACTTTGTGTCGTCCTCATCACTTGCATTTCCTTAAAACAGTGTGGAGCTGGAGGAACACTGCAGGCCAGGCAGCATCAGAGGAGCAGGAAAGTTGACATTTCGGGTCGGGACCCATTTTCAGAAACGGGGAGGGGAAGGGGATTCTGAAATAAATAGTGGGGGGGGTCAGGCTGGGGAAGGTAGGTGGGATGGTGATAGGTGAGTGCAGGCAGGTAGTGGTGGGGATTGGTCAGTGAGGTGGCAGGAGCGGATAGGTGGGAGGGAAGACAGACAGGTCAAGCAGGCGAGGATGAGAGGGAGGGATGGTCTTGGGATGAGGCCGGGGGTGGAGAGATTTTGAAGCTAGTAAAGTCTACATTGAGACCATTGAGTTGTAGGCTCCCAAGGCTCCTCCAGTTTCCAGGTGGCACCGTTGTGACACTGGAGGAGGTCCAGGATGGACATGTCGTCCAGGGAGTGGAAGGGGGAGTTGAAGTGTTTTGTGACTGGGAGGTGTTGTCGTTTGTCGTGAACAGAGCGCAGGTGCTCTACAAAGCAGTCTCCGAGCCTCCACATGATCTCACCAATGTAGAGGAGACCACGTCGGGAGCAGCAGATGCAATAGGCCACATTAGTGGATGTGCAGGTGAACATCTGTCTGATGTGGAAGGCTTTTATTGGGGCCTAGGATGGAGGTGAGGGGGGAGCTGTAGGGGCACGTGTAGCACTTCCTGCGGTTGCAGGGAAAGGTGCCAGGGCTGGTAGGGCTAGTGGGGAGTGTGGACCGGACAAGGGAGTCACAGAGAGAGCGGTCCCTCCGGAAGGCAGATAATGGTGGGGAGGGAAATATATCTTTGGTTGTAGGGTCAGATTGGAAGTGGCGGAGAATGATGCGTTGAATCCGGAGGTTGATGGGGTGATACGTGAGGACAAAGGGATTCCGTCTTTGTTTTTATTGCGGGGAGGGGGTGTGCGGGCTGAGGCGCGGGAAACGCAAGAGATGCGGTCAAGGGCGTTTTGGACCACTGAAGGGGAGAAGTTGAGGTCCTTGAAATATGAGGACATTTGTGATGTTTGGGAGAGGAAAGCGTCATCTTGGGAACAGATGCGGTGGAGGCAGAGGAATTGGGAGTAGGGGATCGCCTTCTTACAGGAAGGTGGGTGAGAGGAGGTGTAGGCTAGGTAGCTTTGGGAGTCAGTAGGCTTGAAATAGATAGCAGTTTCAAGGTGGTCACCAGGGATGGAGACCGAGAGGTCCAGGAAGGAGAGAGAGGTATCGGAGATGGCCCAGGTGAACTTAATGTTGGGGTGGAAGGCGTTAGTAAAGTGGATGAACTGTTCGAGCTCCTCATGGGAGCTCGAGGCGGTGCCGATACAGTCATTGATGTAGCGGAGGAAGAGGTGGGGGTTAGTGCCAGTGTAGCTTCGGAAGTGGGACTGTTCCATGTATCCTACAAAGAGGCAGGCATAGCTTGGGCCCATGGATGTCAAACACTTTTTTTTTCTGTTGCCTATGCCTCCGCATTTACTACTTTTAACCGTGAGCCTAACCCTCCCTCTACAGACCCCTTCTCCCACCTCCAACACACCCCTCCTCCTGGACACCACCCCAAGGCCTCCTACCCTCCCTTGACCTCTTCATCTCCAACTGCTGTCGTGACATCAATCGCCTCAACCTCTCCATCCCCTCACCCGCTCCAACCTCTCCCCCACAGAACATGCAGCCCTCCGCTCCAACCCTAACCTCACTTTCAAGCCCGCGGACAAAGGAGATGCATTTGCAGTTTGGCGCACTGACCTTTATATCGCCGAGGCCAGGCGCTAACTCTCTGACATCTCCTCCTACTGCACCCCCTCAATCATAACCCCACCCCTGATCACCAAACCATCATCTCCCAAACCATCCATAACCTCATCACCTCAGGTGACCTCCCGCCCACAGCCTCCAACCTCCTCATTCCCCAACTCCGCACCACCCATTTCTATCTCCTTCCCAAAATCAACAAACCTGACTGCCCTGGCCGACCCATTGTCTCTGCCTGCTCCTGCACCACCGAACACACCTCCACTTATCTCGACACTGTTTTCTCCTCCCTGGTCCAGGAACTCCCCATCTACGCCCGTGACACCACCCACGCCCTCCACCTCCTCCAAGACTTCCAATTCCCTGGCCCCCAACACCTCATCTTCACTATGGATGTCCAATTCCTGCATACTTGAATTCCCCACACAGATGGCCTAAAAGCCTTCCGCTTCTTCCTCTCCCGCAGGCCCAACCAGTCCCATTCCACTGACCCTCATCCACTTAACTGGACTTGTCCTTACTCTAAACAACTTCTCCAACTCCTCCCACTTCCTACAGACAAAGGGGGTGGCCATGGGTACCTGCATGTGCCCAAGCTATGCCTGCCTCTTTGTAGGATACGTGGAATAGTCCCTCTTCCGAAGCTACACTGGCACCATCCCCCACCTCTTACTCCGTTATATTGATGACTGTATCGGTGCTGCCTTGTGCTCCCACGAGGAGCTTGAACAGTTCATCAAATTTACTAACACCTCCCACCCCAACCTCAAGTTCACCTGGACCATCTCTGATACCTCCCTCTCCTTCCTGGACCTCTGCCTCCATCTCTGATGATCACCTCAACTGATATCTATTTCAAGCCCATCGACTCCCAAAGCTACCTAGAGTACACCTCCTCTCATCCACCTTCCTGCAAGAATGCGATCCCCTACTCCCAATTCCTCTGCCTCCATCGCATCTGCTCCCAAGATGAGGCTTTCCACTCCCGAACATCACAGATGTCCTCATATTTCAAGGACCGCAACTTCAACTGCCTCTCTTGCATTTCCCGCACCTCAGCCCTCAACCCCCTCTCCACAATAAAATCAAAGACAGAATGCCCCTTGTCCTCACATATCACCCCACTAACCTCCGGATTCAACGCATCATTCTCCACCACTTCCATCAGCTGCAATCCAACCCCACAACCAAAGATATATTTCCCTCCCCATCCTTATCTGCCTTCTGGAGGGACCGCTGTCTCCGTGACTCCCTCATCCGATCCACACTCCCCACTAGCCCAACCTCCCCCGGCACCTTTTCCTGCAACCACAGGTTGTGCTATACCTGCCTCTACAGTTCCCCCCTCGCCTCCATCCCAGGCCCCAAAAAAACCTTCCACATCAGACAGATGTTCACCTGCACATCCGCTAATGTGGTCTATTGTATCCGCTGTTCCCGATATGACCTGCTGTACATCGGGGAGAACAAGTGAAGGCTCGGAGACCGCTTTGTGGAGCACCTGCGCTCGGTTTGCGACAAACGACAACACCTCCCAGTTGCGAACCACTTCAACTCCGCCTCCCACTCCCTGGACGACATGTCCATCCTGGGCCTCCTCCAGTGTCACGACGACACCACTCAGAAACTGGAGGAGCAGCACCTCATATTCCGCCTTGGGAGCCTACAGCCCAATGGTCTCAATGTAGACTTTACTAGCTTCAAAATCTCCCCACCCTGGCCTCATCCCAAGACCAGACCCCCTGTCTCATCCCGGCCTCCTTGACCTGTCCATCTTCTCTCCCACCTATCCATTCCTCCCACCTCACCGACCAATCCCCACCACTACCTACCTGCACTCACCTATCACCATCCCACCTACCTTCCCCAGCCTGACCACCCCCATATTTATTTCAGAATCCCCTTCCCCTCCATTTCTGAAGAAGGGTCCTGACCTAAAACATCAACTTTCCTGCTCCTCTGATGCTGCCTGGCCTGCTGTGTTCCTACAGCTCCACACGTTGTGTTATCTCAGACTCCAGCATCGGCAGTTCTTACTACCTCTCAGTGAGTTACTTGCCTTTCCGTCTTTTTTCCCATCTGCAACCTTGGTGACAATACATTGATTTTCTTCATTCAGGTCATTAATGTATATAGCAAATAATTGTGGCCCCAACACTGATCCCAGTGGCATTTCACTAGTTACAGGTTGCCTCTAAAAACATCCTCTTATCCCTACGGTCTATCTTCTATTAATTAGCCAATTATCTATCCACATTCATATACTACCTCCAACACCATGGGCTCTTATTAAGTAGCCTAATGTACTTTATCAAATACTGCCTGAAAATCCAAACATATTACCTCTTCCACTTCCCTTTTAACAATCCTGCTTGTCACTTCCTCAAAGAATTCTAGTAAATTTCTCTTGTCTGGTTTCTGCTCATTCTGCTTGGTCATATTATGTTTCCCAGTCATGGAATTTTACTGTACAGAAGGAGGCCATTTGACCCATTGTGTCTGTACTGGTTCCTGAAAGAGCTACCCAGCTGGTCCCCTCTGCAACTTTTGCAGGAACTAAGGATCCTTGGAAGGTTACTATCCGTGCTTCCACTATCTCTGTAGCTACTTCTTTTTATGCGATAAGATGCATCCCATCCGCTCCAGGAGACTTATTAACCTTCAGCCCCATTAGTTTCCCTAGCACTTTTTACCTCGTGATAGTTATTGTATTTATTTTGTCTCCTTTTTTTTGCCCTTGATTAGTTATTAATTTTACAATGCTATTAGGTTGCCCTTCTGTGAAGAGTGATGCAAACTATTTATTAAAATGTTCTTGTGTTTCTGAATTTCAACATTTTTTTAAGAGTGGAAAAATCCATTTATCATTTCACTTAATTTTATTCATGACAAAAGATAGCTATTAAAAGTAATTTAGCATTGAGTCATGTAAAACGATCCTTCATCATTGAGAATCCAGTAGAGATTTGATGGCTGTTTAAGTCCACTTTGAGGAAAGTTTACAATGCACTTATTGTTGATTTACTCCTAATGCAAGAATCTGCTATTTTGTTCTGACTCTTTAATCTGTTTGTTTGTTTGTTTGTTTGTTTTTCTTTCATTACAGAAAGACAGTGCTGTTTTGAGAAAACAAATTTCTGACTTGTTTCAAGAAATCAGGATGCTGTTGACCAAACAAGAAAAGCAAATTCTAGACACAGTTATAACAGAAAAAAATATAAATCTTTCAAAAGTCTTAAAGAAAATACAAGAATTAGAAATTAAAAGAGAAGTTATTACTCACCTTATTCAGGAAGTACAAGACCTGAAAAATCAAAAAGATCCATTGTTCTTTATTAAGGTAGTAGATTCAACTTACTAATTTAACATAATTTTATAGTTAAAGTCCATTTACTATGCTGTTTTGAGATTTATTTTGGATAGTTTTTCATTTTATTTATGCCTACTTGCAATATCCACCAAGCAGAATTCTACACAAGTTAGTTAGACAAAAACTGCAATGGATTCAAATGCAGTTCAATTGGTAATGGTGATGACTGTGAACTGCATGTGTATCAAAACCTGAGAAATTCTTTCCCTTCCTTGGTTTTTCAATCCTTCTACAAGCTTCAGGTTCTGAAAACATAATTTTTGTATCACCTAATCAAAGCTGTCTAATTTAATTTGTCTTCTTATTTACATTTTTCAGTTGAGGCAGCATTCTGATTATTTATTTGGTTTCAAAATTTAAATTGCTTCTTACAGTATGGAACAACCTCCATGTATTCTGATGATGGTGGTTTCTTTAGATTTGTAGAAACTCTGTCATTTATGAACTGAGGTATAAACACATTAATATACTCAAGATTTAAAATTAGAGCCTGACAAATATTTTTATAAATATAAAGGTGGGCCTGTGCTTTATGTTGAATCAACAATTTATGGTGCCAATGGGGACATTGCACTACTGGTAGCTTATGTGGGTGTTAGGTAGTAATTTTACCATGTTAAGAAGAGTTATTAATCTTAGTTGCATTGCCGCAGAGAAGAATGAAATGGAGACACTGATCAGGAAACTCCTTTTATGAGGTCATCTGCTGATTTACTGTGAACATTCAAGAGGAGGTTAGGCTGCTTCCTGGCAAGCTGATGATTACATGGTACAAACTAATATATATCGTGGTCAGTCTTTTCTCATTAAATTCTTTATTTCATGGCATGCTGATGTTGTTGGCATGGTTAGAATTTGTCGTCCATCTCTAATTCCCTTGTGAGGGTGCTGGTGAACCGACGCTTTGAACTGTTGGAGTAAGTGCAACCATAGTGCTCTCAACGAAGAAGGTCCAGAATTTTGACCTGGCTACAATGCATGTATGGAAATATATTTCCAAGTTAGCTGATAGTGTTTCCATGCATCTTATGCTTTCTCTTTGTTAGTGGGAGAGGCTGTGGTTTTAGATGGTCCTGTCAAAAGAGGTTGGGTGAGTTGCAAGAATATGTCACATTGATGATGCATACTGCTTCTGCTGTCTGTCAATGATGGAATGAGTGAGTGACTGTCCATCTAACAGCTTAAACAATCAAACAACGTACTTTCTACTGGATGGTGTTGAGCACTTGAGTGTTGTTAGAGCTGTAAACCATTTGGGCAAATGGAGAATACTCTCACTGCCCTGACTTGTGATTTTATGGTTGCTAGATGGGCTTTAGGGAGTGAGTGACTCACCATACAATTCCTTGCCATTGACCTGCTCTTGTAAATACTATGACTACATAGCTTGTCCAATTCAATTTCTTGTCAATAATCAACACAGGATGTTAATAGGGGGGAATTTCAGTAATAGAAATGTCATTGCATATCAAACCAATTTTGAATCTGACAGAGATTAGGGAGGATATCTGCAAATTTTATGACTAGATTTAAGGTTTTGCTACTTTTAATCTCTCTCCTAGGAGATAATATAGCAGCTAGTGAGTAGGAAATGTTGTGTTAGGGCTTCAGGATCTTGGAGCATCATTGATGATGTTACGTAGCTGCACATCATGGAGTATAAATAGCACAGTTTGGACAGAGTTAGATCATTCTACATTAGTCTACAACCAGATTGCCCTATACTATACAAAGTCACTGGAAGACTCATATGAGTACTTGGACATGAATACACACAGAAGGTAGTTTAGTCCTTACCTCATGGAACTATAAAATGGCAACTTTCAATACCAATAATTACTATGTTTCGTGGCATTTAGTATTGTTGAAATCTAAGCCTGAAAACAGTTCTTGACTTAGTGTTCAAGGCAGACTAGGCAAGGAGAAGGCAAAGTCATAATGTGATATCAAGCCACATGATAAAAGATGGTGGGATTCATTGTACAGAAAACCATCTGAACAGTGAACATCAAGATAGAGAGGCCAGATTGTCTGGATAAGAGAACCATTCAAAAAAAAACTTTTATTTAACAAAACTTTGGTACATCCTTAAGACCAGAAGCCAGAAAAGCCACAGGACTGAACAGTTACTGTGAAGCAAATACTTCTGAACAGAAAGCTTTGCCAGAGAAACCACCAGGACACACTATATCTCAAAAAGCCTTTTAATAGGTCACCAGCAATAGACATCTCCACCTCTTAGGAGGTCTCCTCTATCACACATAGCAGTCTTCAGCCCATTTGATTCACTCCATGTGATACATAAAAGTAGCCAGAGATGCTAGATACTGCAGAGACTGTGGCCCTGACAACATGCCTGAAGGCCTGTGCTTCAGCACTTTCTGTGCCACTGGTCAAGCTGCTCCAGTACAGCTACACAATTGGCATCTACCCAACAATGTGGAAAATTGCCTAGCTGTGACCTATGAGCAAAAAGAACAACAAATCCAACCTACCCACTCACAAGCCCCCCTGTCAATTCTCATTTATCAGTAAGTGATGGAAGGTATCATCAACAATGCTATCAAGCAGAAATCTGCTTATTAATACCCAGCTGGGGTACCACCTTGGCCACTCAGGCCCTGCCCTCATTGCAGCCTTAGTTCAAATGTTAACAAAACAGCTAACATCCAGAAGGATGGTAAGTGTGATGGACCTTGATTATCGAGGCTGCATTTGACCAGATGTAGCATCAAGAACCCCTAGTAAAATTGGAATCAATGGGATTTGGGAGAAACCTTTCCATTGGGTGAAGTCAGGCCTGGCAAAATTAAGGTGGTTGTGGAAGTTGTGGGTCAGCCATCTCATACTAGAGCAGCTCTGCAGGAGTTCCTCAGGGTGGTGTCCTAGGCCCTAACATCTTCAGCTGCTTTATCAATGACCTTCTGTCCATCATAAGGTCAGAAGTCAGAAGAATCATCAGTGAGCAATGTTCAGCACCATTTGCAACTCCTCACATCCTGAAGCAGTTCCTGTTCAAATGCAAAAAGACATGGACATCATCTAGATGGGCTGACAAACAGCAAGTAACATTCTCACCTCCCAAGTATCAGGCAATGATCATGCTCCAACGAGAGAATCTAACTATTGGTTATTCAATATCCTTGGCGATTCCCATTATCAGAAACTCAACTAGACAAGCCATATAAATATTGTGACTACAACAGCAGATCAGATGCTCTGAAATGTGCAGTGAGTAACTCCCCTCCTGACTTCTTGAAGCCTGTCCACCATCAATGAGGCGAAGGCCATGGAATTACAGAATACTCTCCACTTGCCTGGACGAATGCAGCTCCAACAAGACCTAAGAAGCTTGACACTATCCAGGATGAAGCAACCTACTTAATTGGCATCACATTCACAAACATTTACTCCCTCCACCACCAATACTCAGTAGCAGCAGTTTGTAGTATCTAGAAGATGCACTGCAGAAATTCATCAAAGCTCTATAGACAGCACGTCCAAAACTCTCAGCTATTGCCATCCAGAAAGACAGGGGTGGTATTTATGTGGGACTACCGTCACCTGCAATTCCCACTATCTGGACTTGGAAATATGTCACTGCTGCTTCAATGTCACAGGGTCAAATTCCTGGAACTCCCTTCCTAACACTAAATTAATTGCAACAATTCAAAGTTAAGCTCACCACCACATTCTCATGGCTAACTAGGGATGGACTATAAATGCTGGCTTAGCCAATGAAGCCCACATCCCAGGAATGATTCACAAAACTAATTCAAAACTGTGGATAAGCAGTCTAGAAAATGTTATATTTAAACATTCTATAGAAAAGTTTCAATTTAATGCGGAACATTCTACAAAACATGTTCATAGAATCCCTACAGTGTGGAAGCAGGCCATTTGGCCCATCAAGTCCAACTGCCCTTCCGAAGAGCACATGACACATACACCCCACCCCTCCATCCCCGTAATTCTGCATTTCCCATGACTAACCCACCTAGCCTGCACTTCCCTGGACACTATGGGCAATTTAGCATGGTCAATTCACCTAACCTACTCCTCCTTAGATTGTGGGAGAAAACAGGATCACCTGGAAGAAACCCATGTAGACACGGGGAGAATGTGCAAAGTCCACACAGACAGTTGCCTGTTGGTGGAATCAAACCCAGATTCCTGGTGCTGGGCAGTAGAATGTTAACCACTGAACCACCTTGCCATCCCATTGACTATTTAAAGTACATCTGATCAGAGGAGACAGACCTCTCATCTTAACAATAAGTCACATGTGGCAACATTAATGTTAAATCCCAAGCAACTTTCTACTACAGAATTTTATCACAGGCGTGGTTCCAACCAACGATTTACTCATTTTACCAAAAGAGGTCACATCTCAATGATGTGCTGGGGTCTAAAGAACATATCAATCAATAAATTGAATTGTTCTCAACCCAACATGTAAATCATGCCTTGTAAAACAACCTTGAAGAACATACCATTACTGCAAGTGAACAACAGGGGATGGGTGGACTACTTCATTTCTTTCAAGGGGATCTAAAAATGTTACCTGGCATTCATAATATATCTATCTTGAATTCTCTGACATTTCTGCAGTTACATTATCTAAAGTTCCTTTAGGCAAATTGATTGAATCTCTAATTTAATGAAAGTCAGCAGAGGATGTTCATTATCAGCGACTTTACCTCGAGTATTTTTATATCTTGTCATAGACTTTCCTGACACATCCACCAACACAGACAAATCAAGTCAAAGACTTGAGGAGGGGTGGAAGCACTAAAGACAAAAAATTCAATAAATGTTCCAAAAGCTAGTCTATGTAACTCCTTGAGAATGCATATTAATGTAATCAATGTTTATGACAGAGGTAAATCTTTGTATAAATGCTTCTGGGCCAAACAGCAAGCTGTGATGATGTCACAGAACTGCACAGCACTGAATATAACTACCACAGTATAGTCAGAGTAAGATAATTTTGCATTAGACTGCAGTTCACTGGATTAGATTACTGGAAAACTCACATGAACACATGGAAGTGAAGATAATTTAGTACTTACCGAAAGTAACTATAAGATCAAAGCCTGATATTTATCTCTGATTACATGTATAACAGTAATTCGTACTAATGTATAATCAAAACTGTTACATTGAAGTCTAAATCTGAAGTCAGCTCTTGACCTTGCCTTCTCCTTGATTACTTAATCCTAAACCTAAACCCACAGTGTGACATCAAACCATTCGAAAATAGAGAAAAAACTCATGGTCTGATCAATGACATGTCACCATTATATGAAGCAGATTATATTGGCCTGTTGGTATGTTCTAATCTGGCAATTTTGTTTGCTTGCAAAACATTATTTGCTGTTGATCAATGAATAGTTAGGGGGAGTTTCCTCAGCTTCTGGGAAACCAATGGAATCGATAAAATCATTGTTTTAAAAAAAGTTGTATACCTTCTTAAGTGGATATGTTGTCCAAAGAGTTTTTTAAAAAAAATCTAGCTCACATCCTGTAGGTGTGAAATCATTACTTTCTTAGACTGGGTATTCTTATTGTAGTAAAAGCAATGATTGACATTTCCTCTATCCGGGACCTTAACACTGAAAGACATCTAAATGCCCACCACTTAACCAGCAGAGCTACACCACTAGATTTCACATTTTAAACAAACCAAATCTTATTGTAAATTTTACAAAAAGCAAGTAAACTTTTATAACAGCACAATGATTTATAATTACTTATCCTGTGAGCACAGTTTGATATTTTTACTCCATCATGGCTACCACCTCCACCCCATTTATTCTGGGACCAATCAAAAGGAATGCAGCAGTCCTCCAAAATTGAATCTAATTCTTAGTATTCCAATTGTCCACCAAGGAACAAATTTCATGGGGACTCTTCCGTTAGCTTTGGCTAAGCAATCCTTCCACCTCACCACTCCATGTCTTGGCTTTAGAAAATCAGAGACTGCCTTTTGTCTGTCTGAGCCAACAACATCTGTGCCATTTCTTTCTAAGCTAACTGTTAAAACCAACTGGTTTCTGCCAAAAGTCTGAGGACCATTGTAAATTTCTTCCACTAGCTACATGCTAGAGCAAATATTCCAGCTGTTTTTCCTTCGCAAAACCCAAACTGAACTTCCTGCCTCTGTCAGCAAACACACATAAATTAATTTTAAAAATGTTCTGTCCAAGAACCTATCCTGAATCATGATTGCTCTGGAATTGTGGAATGGTTTGGAATGATCTCAAACAGAAATGACAACAAATTACTTTACCTTCAAACAACTCTTGAAAGTTGTAACTAATATGAACAAATCATATTGTTACCGAATGGAGTTTCCCTCTCTCAAGTCTCCCTGGCTCCATTAAAAACTTAGATTTAGATCATTCATTGTTCAAGTTCTTTCACTGTGAGCTCTAATATTGTGAGACAAACACAAGGCTACCTTTTAAATGTACTAATCCAGATTTTTCAGAGTTGCATTTTCATCAGAATTATTTTTACCAGTTTCTTAACCAGGCACTCCAGTTATCTGCAGTTAGGACTTAAATTTCTACAATTATAAATTATAAAACCTAGATATCATCAACTAGATTTTTGTAATGTTGCAGTTCTGAAAAAATTAATTTTTAATCTGCATGCACATATTGTAGTTACAATGGTGAGGACATTTTTGCATTTTTTCCCTGCAGTAATATAGTGTGTAGATGAATTTACCAAACAATGTTAACTGATACACTAGATACATTTATGACATTAATATACAAGTGGCATTCAAGAAATTGATAATGAGAAAGATGTATTTAATAATGTGAGCTTCAACTACATTTAAGTATTTTGATTTCTTTTCCAGGATTTCAAATCTACTTATGAAAGGTAGGATTTTGGTTGATATTGGAAAGCACAAGAGGAAGGGCTGATATTGACTGACTCAGCTCATCCTGTGGAAATGGGATAGTGATCGAATTAAAATTACTGCTTATTCTTGCAGGCTGCTAGATTAACTGGGACTTGTTCGCCCAAATGTGTTGACTGGATCAGACAGAAACCTCCCTATTCAGTGTAAATGTAGGAACTCAATGCAAATTTGAAGCAATATATGGTATGATACACTTGCCAACAATTTTACCTTGAGGTGAAGCAGTAGTAAGATATTATATTCATGGGACAAAAGGAGCAGGAATAATCCTCAAGGGCCTGAAGAATAATACACCGTAGAGCTATGCAAGTCATATACATAAACTCTTGGGAAATTAGATGTTCAGATTATCTCAAAATCCACATACTTCAGATGCTGGAGGTCTGAAATGAGAACATAATATCCTGGAAATACTCATCAGATCAGTCAGTATCTGTGAAAAGAGAAGCAGAATTAATATTTCACGTCAATGACCTTTCACCAGAATTCAAACATTTAGGAATGCATTAGGTTTCAAGGAAATAGAGGAGAACAGAAAAAGAATAAAAGGGAATCCTGGAATAGGGCAGAAGAGAGGAGACATTAAATAAAAAATGAATTGGTGGTGTAAGGCCAAAAATAATAATAATAATCAGAGAAGTAAAATAACAAAAAAACCCCAGAGGGTGTGGAAATGGTGGAATAATGTGAGAAAATGACACCAGAAAACAAAAACTGAGAGAAAAATAGGATTAAAACCAAAGCATACAAAAAAGAATGAGATAAGATGAGGAGACAATCTTTCCTTTTAGTACTTTGCGCACACTCCCAATTTCACCTGCTTAAAACTGATTAAAGTCTGAAGTTTTCCCAGTTCTGCTGAAATGTCGTAACCTGATATGTTAGTTCTGTTCCTTTCTACACACATGCTACCAGGTTTGCTAAGTTTTTGTTTTCTCTTTGTCAGATTACATAGTTGATTTTATAATAAATCTGAATTTCTTTAGTATATGAACGCAAATATCAAAACCTCACTGACGAGGCTTGAACTTTTATGTCAAATGATAATCATTCCACTTTGCAACCAATCTGACAAGTTGTTTGGACAAACATTCTTTAATTAAATGAGATTTATCATGTTTATTTTCCCTCTGATGTGTTTACTCATTCTCACACATTTTCTCAGTGTGCTTAAGAAAAAGGGATGGAATAATGATGTATCATTTGTACCACAATAACGATAAGTATAATTATTGTAACAGGGCATTTCAACATCTATATTAATGAGGTGATTTTGTAGAAAATATAAAAACAATATCACTTGCTTTTAGGAACATATTTGTTTTAAACATTTGAAATTTGCTTAACAATAATGCACATAACAAAATCTATTGTACTTCTGAGCTTGAAGAAAAAGTGATATTAATTTGAAATAATTGGTTTAATTCTAACTGCTGCAAAACAATTTCAGAATTTCTAACAACAACACTGAAGTAGAAAAATTGAAGGTGTCCTGGAAGAAACTCGATGAAAACACGATATCAACCATCAAACAGGAGACTAAACGAATCTTTGAGATGTTAAATACAATCATTTTTGACCACCCTGGTAAGTGGTGGATGTGGTTAGTTGAGGTCTGTCTTGTTATATAAAAAAGGAATCATTTTTAAATAATACACAAATTATAAATTACAAGCATATTGTAATAAACGTAATTTATAATCTCTTAAAAAGGTATCATTGGTAACTATTATGAAGCAGACAGGCATTTAATGAAGGCAGTTGACTTAGAAAATCATTATGGATGAAATTGAATCGAGAGAATATTTAAAGAAATCAAAAAATAATATTAAAAAAGTGATACTAAAATAAAAACTGCAATGCAGATACAGACAGCAGGCAATAATGAATCAAAACATGAAACAAATAGTGGCAATCAGTCCGTGCCAAATATGTTTGTTCATTAACATTTAGGAATAGTTACATTATGAATGTCTATTTAGAGAATGAGGAAAAGATAAAAGTTTATTGTTAAAGCTGTAGAAAGGCATGCTAGAGTAGAGGAGTGAAACTTATATAACCAATAAAATATTTCACTCATCTGGAAAATAAGAGAACTGGAGAAAATTAACAAATACTTTGAGGCTTTAGTGGACGATGAATTGAAGGATATAGCTGTCACTTGTGGAACTTGAAAATGAAATAGGGAACAGCAAAGATGAAACAGAAATTCTAGATGACAAGATAACTTAAAAGGTGACTAATTATTACGTGGGAGTTGTAATATTAGATATGTGCAATTGCTCATATTTGTAGAATAAAATCAATTGTGTGTTTCATGAAGACTTACATAATATTGGGAGGGGGTGGGAAAGGTGTATGGGAAAGGACCTGTATATGTCCAGAATATGAACCCTGAGATCAACAGGAAGCACTCAGTAGTATTAGAGGGAAGAGAAGAATAGAACAATGATAATGGCAATGGCATTGAAATAAACACAAGGCAAGCATTAGGTGAAGAAAAGTGATAAAAAGCAAATTGTTCAGGAAAAGAAATATTTATGAGAAAAATGCAATACAGGAATCAAAACAACTAACAATTATCTGATCATAAAAATGTTAAAAGAGAAAGGTGATCTATTAAATAATTAAGGAAGTAATTAATAAACAAAATAATTGGTTATTTTATTCAAGCCATTTTCCCAGAAATTGTGTTGCTCTTATTGCCTTGATGGTCACAGAAACTGGCAGCTGGGGGAAAAATTTAAGAAACTGAAGCAGTGCTAGGATCTGGGGGATGCAAGACATGCCTGGAATGCATGCTTGAAGATACGACCACCCCCGCCTCATTGAAAATTAGATTTGTGGTGGGCTGCATAAGACAGGTGAGCTGCAGATGTAAGTCAGGCTCCCCAGTGCAACTTTCCGCCAGAGCTTTGGGAAATACAGCCAGCTGCAAAGCTGACTCAGCCCACAGATAAATCCATGATTGAAGGCAGGGGAACCTGAACTGAAGGTAGAGGAGCCTGAGCTGGCAACATGGAGTATTTATGTTGCAGACTCCTGTTCCTTCTGACTGCACAAAATATAACAATGAATAAAAATACTTAACCTACCTTCTTTTTCTGGATGGCCTCAGCTTGTGCATTCTGGAAAAAGACTGAGTTGAGCTTGTGTGCAGCACAGACTTGCCCCAAATCATAAAATTCCTATAGGCAGAAGAGGCGAACTGGCCTATTGAATCCACACCCTCTGAAGATCAACCCATCCAAACACTTCCCCCCACCCCCCTCCAACTCTGTCCCATAACCCTGCATTTACTATGGATAGTCCATCTAACATGCACATCCTTGGATACTATGGGGCAATTTAGCTGGGCCAATCAACATAATCCGCACATCATTGGAATGTGGGAAGAAACCCGAGCACTTGGAGGAAACCTGCACCAGACGTGAGGTGAATGTGTAAACTCTACACAGTCACCCAAGGTTGGGATTGAACCCAGGTCCCTGGCACTGTGAGGCATTAGTGCGAACCACTGAGCCACCATGTTGTCCTAAATGAGGAGGAATTTTGAGTGGGGTTCCTAAAACGTGGCATAGAGCCCTGACTTGCATATTCAATATGTCTAACACCTGTTGTGAGGTGCTCTGGATACTGGAAGGTAGCGGCAGCCAATGTAAATTAATAGTAATGAAGCATGGAATGAAGTGACTGTGATTAGACATCACTGCAAAAATCTACCAAAAGAAATGGTCAAACAAAAATCAAATTGTCCTCTGTTGTTCTCCACATTCCCCTTAGCTGCTCCCATTTATATGCATTTTGGAAAATGGCTTACATGCTCTATGTCCTTTAGGGAAGGAAACTGCCATCCTTACCTCACCTGGTCTACATTTGACTCAAGAACCCCGGCAATGTGGTTGAGTCTTAACTGCCCTCCAGGCAAATAGGGATTGGCAATAAATGCTGGCCTACCTAATGGCACCCTCATCCTGTGAATAAATAAATAAATAAAACTATCCTGGTCTAGGTATTAGGCCATCAAAGATCAAATTCGTAGCTGAACCAAGCCAGCAAACTAATTAATCAGAGACTGGTAACTTCTGAGACGTCACGTTCATTGGTCATGACATTTCTTTAGAGGGATCCAGCAGTGAGAAGGTAAATAGAATAGAATCCCTAAGGTTTGGAAGCAGGCCATTTGGCCCATCAAGTCCACACCGATGCTCTGAAGAGCATCCCACCCAGACCCACTCCCCTACCCTATCCTTAGAACCCTGCATTTCCCACAGCTAATCCACCTAGCCTGTGCCGTGCTGGACAATTTAACATGGCCAATCCAGCTAACCTGCACATCTTTGGATTGTGGGAGGAAACCAGAACATTTGGAGGAATTACACGCTGACACAGGGAGAATGTACAAGCTCCACAAAGACAGTCATCCTGGGGTGGAATTGAACTCATGTCCCTGGTGCTGTGAGGCAGCCGTGATAACCACTGTGCCACCCAAATCACTTTTATGTTGATGTTGTGGGATCAGGTCACAGAGAGAGGGATGTTAGATACAAAGGGAGTGGGGTGGCTTTCAGTAGCGACACCTTACACCTTGTCTGTATCAACTATTGTCTTCAGATTAGGGAAGCGCGAGTCCTGTCTCCAACTGGACAGGCAGGTTTTGGGAAGGTGCCCCTTCGGTCAGGGAGATGATGAGTTGAGATTCTTAACTGCACATTAATTGACCACAAAGACCTTAATTGCTGGCAGGTCAAGAAACATCCCAGTGTCCCCTGGAAAAGAAGCGTGCAGTGTCCATCAATTCTCTCGATATCTTTCAGGAGAGGTGGTTACCTTGGGGTGTGGAGTGCTTTATTTCCCCCTCCAATTTTATTTTGATTTGGTCCCTACCCTCCCCGTCATCTTTTCATTCACATAGGCATTGCCCCCAGGGGCTCTGCTTGCTACTGGTCACATGGGTGTTTTTCCTGGTGGTGGACTATCAGTAAAGTTATTTACACACCTGGTGTTTTTACTGTGTCTCACAGTTACACACACACACACACACACACACACACACACACACACACACACAGGTGCTGGGGAAAATAATGAAAGAAAACACCCCAGTGGACTTTCTCAACCAGTTGAGTTTCTCTCCAGGTTTACCTCGTCCCATTTATGCTACATCTTACTACCTCTCTCTGTGCCTGGAGAAAATTATGCCCTGAGGCTGTAACTGTTTCCAGGTCCTGAATCCA